GCCGGGGATGGTATCTGGCCCTTGAGAACAAACCTCTTCCAGTCTCAAAGCCTCTGAGTCCGTGGAAGAAAGGGGACCTGGCATACTGGGGGCAGTTCACATCCCTGCTGCATCACATTGCTGGCAAACAAAGCATTGGAGTGGGCGCGATGGACCACCTGAGGGCTAAAACTGCAGATCTGCTTCTGAGGTGGCAAGATGTTCATGGACTGGATGAATTTCTGCAGTGGAGTGGAGGCGCTCATTGCCGGGGACCCGTCCCCGATAACGCTGCTGATCAAGGGTGCTGAATGCAACAGAGATTATGCAAAAAAGGTGGCATTGGAGCAACAGGCCAGTGATTTCCAGCTGTGGTTGTCCCAAGCAAAATTGAGAGGACACGGTGACATTTACAAATGTCTCAAAGCACCAGACAATGTGCATGTCAGGCCCTTTCGTGATGTTCCTGTCCAGCAGAGGCAAAGCTTGCGAGAGCAACAGTGGCATGGGAGATGGGAAGTGCTTGAAGCCCCGTTGCAGAGTGGTGAAAGAGAACGCCTCAGATGGGAAGGAATTGTGCAGGCGAGGAGCTGGGAAGATTTGGATCCCCATGAAGTTATGAAGAAACTCCAAAAGCTTCCGCAAAAAGCATCTGGCCCTGATGGCATCAGCTACGCATTGCTTCGAAACTTGCCCATTGAAGGAGTCATTGAACTTTGCCATATGATGCGGAAGTGGGAACTTGCTGGCAGGCTGCCTGAGCAAGCATGCACAACCCTGGTCCTGCTACTACCAAAAAAGGCTGAAGTGGAGAGGCCAATCTCTTTGACTAGTGTCATTTACCGCACATGGTGCAGGCTGAGATGGGACAAACTACGTCAGTGGCAGACAACCATTGGTACAAGACTCCCATGGGAAAGAAGCTTGCCTGGCACACAGGTCTTACAAGTTGCACTTATGAGATTGCTCAAGTGCGAAGTTGGCCGTGCGGTTGGGCGCCACATCATTTCGCTGCTCATTGACTTACAGTGCTTTTACGATTCTGTTGAACTTGAGCAGCTGTTGCACCTTTGGGAACCTTTGGAGTTCCCGCCTGCATACATGAACATGATCTATGAAGTGTACTCTGGACCACGGCTATTGCAGGCTGAAGGTGTTACATCCAGCCCAGTTCATTGCAGGAAGGGCATGTTGGCGGGCTGCCCGGCAGCCCCACTTGTGGCAAAGATCGTCCTGGCACCGGTCTTGCAGCAGTTTCAAGCCAGCCATCCCAGGGCCTCTGTTGATGTGTGGGTCGATGACATCTCCATTGACTTTGATGGTGATGACCCACATACAGTTTGCAAAGAAGCACTGGCTGGCTACGAGGAGGTGAAGGCTGGACTTGAAGCTGTTGGCCTCCAACTATCGCCAACCAAGACTGGTTTCCTAACGTCTTCTGCTGAGGCGAAAAGGGAGATTACACTGCATAGATCTGACAGTCAGCCAAAAGCCCATGATCTCCTCAAGGATTTGGGTCTGGATTCGAGTGGGGGACGTCGGCGGAGGATTGGCAACCAGCAAAAACGCCTATTGAAAGGCAGTGGCAGACAGTCGAAGCTCTTGCACCTCAAGCTTCGGTCCAGGCCTATTCGCATCAGGGTGTGGAAAACATCAATACACTCTGCAGTCAGTTTTGGAGTGGAAGCTCAAGGCATGGCGCCACAGAGGGTGAGAACACTACGTCAACAATTGGCAAGACATGGTGGTCTGCAGAAGAAAGGCAGTGTTGACATCGTGTTCGACCAGCATGCTCACCTACAAGATCCCAAGGATACGGCGGTTGAGAGGCAACTCAAAGCAATGCATCAATTGGTGAGGGCTTGGCCGGCCAACCAGAGGGGAGAATTGATGTCAGCCTGGAGGGTGTCCTGGAGGAGGCTTCAAACTGCTGCAGGACCCATGGCTGCAATGCAGACATACTTGATGGAGATGGGTTGGGATGCTTCAGTACTTGATGACTGGGTCAGGCCTGCAACGGGTCTTCTCCCGCCCAATCAGCTCAGCTTGGACTATCCCTGGCCTCATTTGCTGCGGCAGCTTCGGATTGGACTATCCCTGGCCTCATTTGCTGCGGCAGCTTCGGATTGAACAAACACATCAAAGAGCCAGGAGGATTCAGCAGTTGGAGCATTGTTTCCCGTTGATGAAGCAGCCTGACTGGACAGTGTACCATTGGGTGAGCAAGAGGCTTAAGGGCACTGCCAAGGCGGCCATTGATGCGTGGACTCAAGGCTCTTTGAGGACCCATGGAGATGGAGAAAGAGCAATCTGTCCATTGTGTGGAGTGCCGGTCACTATGAAGCACTTGATTTGGCAATGCAAGTACCATCAGAAGGAGCTTCCAGTGACAGTGGAGTGGCAACGTAGCATCCAGGCCAATGAGGATACCATGCTGTGGGCAAGAGGGCTCATTGAAACACCCAACTTCGAACCTGTCGTTGGTCCGGATTCGTGTGAAGTCTCTGGATGTTTTGCAAGAGGATGGCCAATCCGACTTGGTCACACCCACAGACTCGCCATTGGTGTGCAGGCCACTTGCAAAGATGCTCGGTTGAAGCGCTATGCTACTTACAGCTGGGGAGTGGCAAGAAGGTTCATGGCAAATTCTTGGCACCTGCACGGCGTTGGCGCCTGGGCAACCGACTGAAGCTCGAGCATGGCTGTTTGGCGTCTGGATCCTCCTTCAAGCTGTGATTGGCAAGCATCAGATCAACATCCCAAGCAGAGCAGGATGGGCAGCTGTACAAAAGGGTGGCAAGGGAATGACTGCGCCTGACCTTTGGCACAACCTGCCTGAGGATGAGTGGAGCCGTGTTCAGGTACTCAACGTGCCGCAGAAGATGCTGAAAGACAATGGTGGTGACATGAGGGCATGGATGCAGTACACTGAAGCCAAACTGGCGGCAAAGCAGAGGGCTACCAAAGAGGCTCCAGGGGACTTAGATGAATTGAAGAAGGCTGACCTTTTTCACATCAAGGTCTATGAGGCTGCAGCTGAGAGAATTGGGGCAGTGTTGGAAGATACTGACCATTATATGCACGGGAAATTGGAGCAAATTGAGACTGAGTTCAAGATCAAAAAGGACAAACCCAAGGGCCGTCTCTTGCTGTTCAATCAGCTTGTGCAGCAAACGCCAGTTGAAGGCCAACACAAGTGGCTCCATCACCGGGGAGGTGTCTTGTGTGAGCTGTGCGGCAAAAGGATCAAGGCTTGCAGTACGCACAGTGAGATTAGCACCAAACAATCCACACAGTGCAATGGCAGGGTCACTTTGACTTTGAAGCAAACAATGGCAGCTCTGGTGCAGGAGAGTGAAGGATTGGATGAGGAAATTGAGGGCCATCGGTGGACCATCAGTGCCACTTCGTTTGGATGCAAACGGTGCTGGGCCAAGATTCCTTTGAGAAGCGGCAAGGCTGCATTGACCTCGATGCAGCAAAGTGTGTGCCTCTATGGTCCGAAAACGGAAGCGGAGTTGGGTCTTCGCAGCAGGGTTCACACCACCCATGAGATTTGGAGACGTGGAGCATGGTTGGAATGCAAGAGATGTGGGCGCACCACCAAGGAGATCCAAGGCAAGGTCCAAACGTGGCTGTCCCAACTGTGCCAAAAAGGAGGCGGACAAAGAACCTTGCAATTTGTGCAGCACAGCTCTGAGAGTTGATGGGACACAAGATCGGGCATCCAGCTCTAGACTTTGAAAGGATTGATGTCCAGCTGGATGGCTGTATAGGAGACCTATCTGATGATGCTCCGTGAGGGAGCCTGGACTGCAAGGAGAATGAGCCTTGGTCCAGAGGAGTGTACAATAGGCCACTTTTGCCGTGGAGGTGTGGCCGGTGAGACTTGGCAGCTCGAAAAGAACCGAGAAAAAAAAAAGAGAGAGTGAGTGAAGGGACAGAGAGAGAGAGAGAAGGGAGCAAGCAAAGGGAGTGAGTGGAGGGAGAGAGGCGAGTGGAGAGGGATAGGACGAATGGCGGGCGGGATGCAAATATATAAATGTACGAAAACCACACAAAGATCCACACGTGTCCGCACCAGGATCCACACAGAAGCGGCCCAAATCCCCTCATCTGTTTGAGGGTTTTTGCCAGCACCTCGGCAAAGCTGTCTGGCAGCATACTACCAGAAAGTGCAGAAATTAGGAATCAATAATGTTTCCAACTGGTCACTTGAATCTGCCAGTACGCTGCGTCCTTTTCCCACACGCTCTGGCAAACCACGGGCGAGAAATCGCATTCGCGCTGCAACCCCGTGGTGATGACCCGAACAACATCCGATGCGTCAGGGTCAATGGAAAGGACAAGGTGCTTCAAGAGATCTTGGCGCGCAATCCAAAGGGCTGCAACAAGTAGCTGAAGAATTCAACAGTGGCGAGACACGCTGCACAAACATCTGGCATTTACGGTAAACTGTAGTAGATCTCTCTCTCTCTCTCTTTCTATGGTCTCAAAAGCACGCGTTATTTTGTATAATATGGGTATGTGTTTGCAAATGTACTTGCATGTGTCTTGCGATGTAGTTGTTGTGCATTGGCTTTAGGATGCTTGATTTATTAAAACACAGCCATTTGACGAATCTTTTCTGGGCAGTATTTGTTCAACCCGCACCTGGAAGCTTGATGACCAAATCTTAAGTTGCATTGTAGGGGATGGTTCTTCGCCACACTCTCTTGTCAACAATCACGCAGTATCGTTAGCAGTCTGGTAGGTGATTTCTTGACAAAACAGCACCACATGCAAATACAAGCAGCGCAATGCCAAGTCCAAAACTCTGGCACCATCATCCCGGTTCGAGAACAAGCGCTGGTTGAGGTTGATGAATGTAATTCATGCAGTTGTTTCCATGATATGCGTGTGTTGCAAAACTGTTCTACTTGGGATTTCATCATTTGACAAACATGCACTCACATGGGCAAAAGCTTGAGTACAGTGCAATATATATATATATACACACTGGTTGCCTTGTCATTGTGGAGCTGCTCTGCTCCAGCTTCTGTTACACATCTCCTTCTACTGTTTTGGCCCATCATTGTTCTGAGCCGTGTAAGCTGGTGAGACACTTTCAGGGCTGGCCGTCTCAACTCATCTGCTGGGTGGCGGCGGTGAGAAGCTGCCACCATACGATGGTGACAAGGAGTCCCCATGTTCGATCTCAGGGCCCTGGCCATGACAAGACATCAACGAACGCAAAGACTGCAGGGGGCTCACGAACGTCAAAATCATTCAAAATCACAAAGACCGTGGCCGCAAACGGAACATAAAAAGAAGCTGAAGAGATTCTGAGCTCCACTAGTCTACCCGTTTTTTCAAACATATTTGCGAACAGGTCGCCCACCTTCAAATCATCCTCCGTGAGTGGCTCACTGGAGGGTGCTTTATAGGAGAAACGCTGGGTGTCGGGCATGCTGATGCGCGGCGCCTCGATCACCTGGCTCGGTGCTGTTTTGTTAACGACAGCCTAGCTAGTTCCTCCGACCTTATAGAAATGGCCTCCAACCTAGAAGCGATGGCCTCTAACCTACAGTAACAGCAACGGCCTCCAACCTACTAGCGATGGCCTCCAAACATGCGGCACCGATCGCTGAAGAGTCAAGAAGCCCTGAACAGCAAAATAATGCAAAATAGATCATAAGGCCACAGGTGTCGACGGTCAATATCCCAAGTTTCTTTGGCTATGTGGTCAGCAATTCATAAGGGCCCATTCCTTTGCTGTCCTTTGCCCTATCTGACTGTTAAAACTTAATCAGTGCGCACTATGATGCAACCTGTGCAGCCTTTGGCTCTAAAGTGCTCCAATTCGCACCTGCTCTTCCCTCTCCTTGCGTTGGCTGCGCCAGCGGCTTAGCAAACATAGGGCAAGAATGAAGGTGCCGCCCGCAGGAAAAACCCAGGTCCAGTGCTTGCTGGAGTTGTCCTCGCAGAAGCCAAACTTTGGCAGGCTTTGCGAAAGGGTGCTAATGTCCATTGCGTTTAAAAGCAGTTTCCAGTCGTAACGGGGCCAATTGCATGCGGTGGGCTGTCTGGGATGTATAGCAGGGGTTGAACAAAGTATTGTGCATGTGAGGCCGTGCGAGAAGGTGAGTTGAGTTCTAAAACTATCCCGTTGTGGTCCTCCACTGTGCCGCCACCAGTAGGGTTGGCCCAAGCAATCGGATTTCCAACTCTCTTGTATTTCTCCTGTCAGCTTTGATTTCTCCGATGAACAAGTCGTGGTGTTTCCAGCCAAATCAGGAGGTGAACAAGGAAACGCGGCTACGCTTCAGCAGCATTCTTCCCGGGGATATGAATCTGAACACATCGGCACAGCTCAGTTGAAGCTGGATGCATCAAGCAGCAATGCCAAAAGGAAGCAAACTTTTCTGGTTTGTCAACTTTTGTGCTGAAAGTGCGCTTCGCTTATATACATACATAAACCCCCAAAATGCATAGCTAGCACAAGAAGCCAGTGCAAAAGAAGGTAGATCGGCGTCAACTAAAACAACTATCGCGCATTGAGCACGTGCGTGCGTGTTGCTTGACATCCAGAACTGTAACTGGCAGATACAGCCAGGATCTAGACTTATATATATATATATAAATATTGCACCCAGACTCTTCCAATTGCCATCGTTGTGAGCAAAGGTTTAGGGCACAGTGGCTCTGACTCCTGAGTATCATACTCCCCAGTCTCTTCGTAGCGACGGTCTGACTCTGAATCACCAGCTGCAAAGGCTCGACGTGAAGCCTTCAGGGTGGATTAAAAGGCTGGGACAAATGTCAAAACAGCTAGCGATGGTGAGCCTTTCCAAAAAACCTTCGGACATGAAGATTTATCAAATGATATCTTCATAAGAAACGATTTGCCTGGCACACAGTGCTCCTCAGAATGTTGGCTGGAAGCGGCCCTCTCTGCGCACATATGATCGGCGAGCGCAGGAGTGCCAGGGCTCTCATGGCGCAAAAGCCGTGTCTCTGATAAAATGAGCCAAAATCTTCACCATAGCAGTTCGTCCCTTTTCTTCCATGTGCAGTCCATGTGTTGGAGGTTTTCTCCCAAAGGCTGAAGCTGCTGTTGCATTCTTAAGTGAACGAGATGCACAGAATAGAGTAAGGATGATTCAGGCCTTGTAGAATGGTGTGACACTGCTGTTTCAATTGTTCACACCAAATCTAGGTTGGAGGCCATCGCGTCTAGGTTGTAGGTTGGAGGCCATCGCTAGTAGGTTGGAGGCCAGTGCTACCATTGCTATTAGGTTGGAGGCCATTGCTTCAAGTCTCCACACTCTGGAACGATTTGCAGCTTTACTGAGAATCCGGCTCCCGCTCAGCCGTGGCTTTGCATCCTTTTTCGCAGCCTCTAATCGGCGCTTTCTCTTGCAAACTGTTGACATTCCCTTGCAACCTCGTTGCACATTGTCTGTTTGGTGGTTTTACCCAATATGTATATATACATACATTCTTTTTGCAATTCCATCGTTTTGCCAGGGTGCATTAAAGTTATCATGCTGGTACTGTACTAGTCAGTTTACTGGTCTTCTTTGGCTACAGTGCTACAGCATGCAAAATCAGTAAGGAGCTCTAGTTCAGTTAGGCATGCTCCAGCGTGGGTAGATTGAGAACCCCCTCGCTTGTGAACAAGCGGAAACCTTTTCTATCATTAATTACATTGCATGTTGGTGAACACCGGCATACTGCAGCACTTGACAACTTGATATCACTCACTTGTCACTTGTATGGGAAATATCATGAATTATCGGGAAGTCTTGACCCAGCACACTCTATATATAGATGAAAGAGAGAGGGAGGGCAAATAGCTCCATTGCGTCAAAAAACCGGATAGTAGCCAAGTAGCACCAATCAAGTAGAGAAATCGGAGGTTTATCAGAATGCAAGTGGAGAGCAAATGACTACAGTGCATAGGCCTTGGAGCACCAGGGCCGGTATGGTCTATAGTTTATAGGTGGCCACGACGCCTCCCTCATGCATCGGACCCGGGTTCAATGCCCGGGTGCAGCGGTGTGGCGTGACGTTCTGACCGCAATGCGCTTTGTTTGGTGGCTTGGCATCTCACTATCTTCAAACATGTGCACATGTCAAAGGAAGAAAAGGAAAGAGAACAGGTGTCCAATCTGGTCTCTGGTGGAGGTTCTTTCAGTGAAGTGCGGCATCTTGAGGAAGGAACGAAGCATCGGAGAGACAAAAGCAATGGACTTTGAGTGACATCAGTGCCGGATAACTCTCTTGCCTTACTCTCACACCCATCATTATTACTATTCCACATCCTTCAACCTCCAAGGCAGCGGATACTTGGGACTTTTTCTAAGGCCAGGAGCCCCTAGTAGCGTCCTTGCTCCTAGTAGCGATGCCAGGAGCCCCTATATAGTAGCTTCTTGTTCCTAATGTCATTCAGGCACCTTCGCAAATGTCCCCGGCACCTGCTGGGGCTGCTGTGGGGACGGAGGCGGCGGTGGAGGTGGATGCTGCGGCTGCGGCTGCTGGGGTTGGGGACCTGGCACTTGCAGTCCCCAACTTCACTGACAACACAAGGCAGCCTTGTGGTGGACCAAGCTAATCTCATCTAGAACATGCAAGGAGGACCTAACTTTAAAGAATTGAGAATTGCGCACAGGAATGTGGTGTAGGTTTACAACCATTCTTTGGGCCCGCAAGTTCCTCACCCATCCACTTCCAATTACAGTAGTTACCAGCACGAGTCAAGCACCTCCACTTTGTCGAAGTGGACGGGTATGGGCTGAAGGCGTGCGTGACGACCAAGCCTCAACCACAAATGCGTGATGCCAGCTTTGCAAAAGCGTGGTTCATCGTGTTTCTAAAATTGTCTAAAGGCCAATCATTACAGGCAAAGTAAACGGTTGATAGAATCGAACGATATCACGATATCGAATGGATAGATAATGTAGGAAAGTGACACTTGGTGGTAAACATGTGTGACAACAGCACTCAGCGTACAGGTGTGACTTGCTTGTTCCTGCTGTTGTCCCCAGTGGCAACTCCCACTTGCAGGCCTGTTGAGCTTGTGCAGGGAGGTCTGCGCAAGACCGGAAGGAAGCCAGCTTATATAATTAGAATGCATGCTTTGAAAAAATCCTCTTGACATCATGCATCACTTATGCACGACTGGGCACTGAAACACCATGACCTGAGAATCACATTATGGCGAATTTGGAGGCCATCGCTTCTAGGTTGGAGGCCATTGCTAGCAGGTTGGAGGCCATAGAATCGCATAGAATCACATGATCCTCCTCTCCAATAGCCGGCCTGTTGTGTTGGCACGTTCCGTCGCGAGATGGGCCTCTGACGAGTGGAATGGCACATGAAATAGGTGCGTTTTGGCATGGGGCTTTTGCCTCCCCACTTGGTTTTTTCTCCTGAGGATGCTTCAGTAGACAAGATTAAATCTATCAAAGCAATTCATAAAGCTGTCAACTTATTTACTAAATATAGTGAAGTCTTCCACAGCAGTTTCTTGCACCTACAGCCCTGAATGAGTACAAAGTGTAAATTGTTGGCATAAGTTGATGAGCGAACCTCTCTCAAATGAACATCTATACAGTTCTTCCAGATATGTACTAGTAGCTTCTTGTTACTAATATCGATGGCCTCCAACCTACTTGCGATGGCCTCCACCTAATAGCGTCCTTGTTACTAGTAACTGATAGCTTCTTGTTCCTAGTAGCAAGGCCAGGAGATACTAGCAGCGTCCTTGCTCCTAGTAGAGACGCCCTCTGTTACTAGTAGCTTGCTACTAATAGTAATGCCCTTGTTACTAGTAGCGATGCCCTTGTTACTAATACGTAGCGTATCTTCCTTTTTTTCGTCGCATCCCGTTGTGCATCTTCGCCCATCCCGAAGGAGGTGCCCAGTGCCGCGCAGCCTGTGCATCCTCCTCGACGACTCCAAGCCGGTGGTTTGGCTGAGGGCTGCCTCTCTGCTGCCATGAAGCCAAATCACTTCAATGATACAAGGAAGAGAAAGAGAGAGAGAGAGAGAGAGAAAGGGGGACGGGGGTCGGCATAGAAGCCAAGTTGTGATTGTGGTTTGAAGACTAATGCGCTGCACGTCGTAGCTTAAACAATGTGGGCAACCTCGCCCATCTCTCCGAAATGGCCTCGTTGAAAGCTTGGGCGGGGGGCCTCCCTCTGCTGACACAGAGCGCCCCTGCACCACACTTGAATCAAGAAAGCAATAGTTAAACATCAGTCAAGGAGGATGATTGGCGTCCTGGCCGCCTGCACAAACATAGCTGCAAGCCGTGATCTGACTCGCCCCCCCCAGAACTGAGAGTTTGGGAAGAACCACATTGAACAAGAACCTATATTCAATATGGGATTGGATGGTTTTTTTTGCGTGCATTGGAATGAATAGGGAGACCCTCCCACAATTGGGTTCCAAAACACGCTCGAAACAGTTTGATTGCTGAGTGGCAACGCAAGGAGCTGGCGGGGACCTCAGTCAAAGAAAAGAAATTGGTGGATGGCAGTCTCAAGCAAAAAACCTGCCAATGCAAACGTCCAACAGCATCCAATAGCACCAATCTAGGTTTAACCAACCTCTTGCATAGAGGCTGGAGGTCTTTTTGTTAGATGTGTGCCCAGTCGCACAATTGCCGCCATCGACGTGGCTTTGGCAAAGCTGGGGCCTGGTGTGGCAAGATGCATCACCAGCTTTCTGGTGCATGTACAGCCCAAGATGTTCCTTCGTTCCTCTACCAACTGTTGCGACTTGCAAAACGAAATGCTGCTGATCTCTCGCTGGCCTTCCCATCCTTGCATTTCACGGGGCGAGCCCGATCGCGTCACAGGCGCAGTGTGGATGGCGCCCCCATTTGCTTGGAGGTGAAGTGACCTCTGGAGACTCGGTGCTGGTGCGACTGTGTAACATATACAAACTTTGGTTCTGGGGGGGGGAACAGCAACAAACCAGGACCTTGGAAGCCTCACAAAGAAGAATATGTCACGGTTTCACTACAGCGCATTGAACCTGTTGAGTCGAATGCGAAGAAACCGCACACACCGATGTTCACGGGTATTCCGGCATTCCCAGCTTGTCAACGCTTAACCCAGCTTGGCATGGACAGTAGTAACAAGTGCCACGTTACTAGTAACAAGTGCATCGCTATTAGGAACAGGTGCCTTACTAGTAGTAACAAGGTTCGCTACTAGAGCCAAGTTTGCGTTTCAGGATCGTTGCCACCCGAACCACCTAAAGCCGATCAACCAGGATTTCAGCGACCCGAGCTTTCCAAAACTTGAGGGTTGGCTATCTTGGGTCATGGTAGGTTGGCTTTGTCCTATTAGCTTGGAGGCCATCGCCCTTAGGTTAGAGGCTATCGCTATTGGGTTGGAGGCCATTACAATTAGGAGCAAATGCCGGACATCCTGTCTTCACAAGGTGTTCTTTCTAAGATCACCTTGAACTTGGAAGATGCCTCTGCACTGATCGCCTTGGACTCACCTCCGACTGCTTGCTGGCAGTGTGCCCAGATTCCGGCTAGGTGTTTCATCCTTGGATAGTTTCAATTTGTTTTCTTTGGGAAAATCGGCGCTTGAACCTGTATGTTTTTTTGGCCATCAGCCGGAGAATCATTCTGTACTTCAGCAAGCTCAGCGGCAAGATAGTCGTTGCCCGGCTTTTGGAAAGCCCATTCGGTGCGCATGGCGCATGGATCTGATCAGTCGTTCTTTGAGCTGGTGGCCACAGCTTAAAGCACCGCTCCCACAGTTGTCCCAAATTATGGTTCTGAGAATTTGCGTAATGAATTGCAGAATGCCTCCGCAAAAACTTATAAAATCCAATGGTTCGGCTGGCTTTAATACCGGCGACCTCATCTCAAAACCATTGAGATTCTTTTCATGCTTTCCCTCTTGCGCCTGGTTTGGTGGTGTTGCGTTTATGTGATTTGAACAGGTTCATCTTTGAATCTTGTTGTCCACGACAGCTCATCGTCTCCAATCGCTGTTCACAACCTATCCTG